TGGGCTAAAGAATGCATCTCCTACGTTTCAAAGATACATAAATAAAATTTTTTCTGATATGGTCAAAGAATGTAGAGTAATCATTTATTTAGATGACATAATGATTGCTTCAGAAGATATCAACACCCACTTTAAGATACTTAAAGAAGTTTTTAAAAGAGTAGTAGACAACAGTTTAAATCTTCGACTTGATAAATGCGAATTTTTGCAATCGTCTGTAAATTATCTAGGCTATACAGTAACAGTAAATGGCATATGTGCAAATGAGACGGGCATAGACGCCATAAAAAGTTTCCCGGTACCCAAAAAAGTGCACGAAATTCAAAGCTTCATTGGTCTATGTTCTTACTTTAGGAGGTTCATCAAAGATTTCGCATTAATAGCAAAGCCATTATATGATGCAACAAGAAAGGATAAAAAATTTGAGTTTGGAGAAGTAGAGATAGAAGCATTTCAAACGCTAAAAAATAAGCTGATAGAAACTCCGATTTTAGCAATTTACAATCCGCACGACGAAGCCGAGCTGCACTGCGATGCAAGCTCTTTAGGTTATGGAGCCATTCTTCTTCAAAGAAAGAATAAAAAGCACAACGAAGGACTCTTATTTTGTGTACCAGATTAAATGATCGAAAGTGTTTTATACAAGTATCACGATGAAATGGGACATGTAGGTGTTGACAAAGTAACAGATTTAATAAACAAAAGCTATTGGTTTCCGCAAATAAGAAAAAAAGTTGCTGTACATATCAAGAATTGTGTTAAGTGTATAGCCTTTTCATCTAAAGCCGGAAAAAAAGAAGGATATCTACACTCAATACCCAAAGGCACAACGCCGTTCAATGTCGTCCACATTGACCACTATGGTCCCATCAAGAGTAGTGAATCTAAGAAAAAGCACATACTCTTGGTTATAGATGCATGCACAAAATTCATAAAATTCAAAATTATCCTACAAAAACAACAAGTTCAAAAGAAGCAATAGATGCTTTGCAAAATTATTTTTAAGCGTACAGTCGCCCTAAGCACCTAGTTTCCGACAGAGGCTCTTGCTTCACCTCCCACGAATTTCAATCATTCATAGAATCACAGAACATCAATCACATAAAAATAGCAACAGGGTCTCCGCAAGCTAACGGGCAAGTGGAAAGGATTAATAGAGATTTAGGACCAATGATTGCCAAGATTCGAGACGTAGAAAAAATGAGCAATGGCATAAAGTATTGGACAAAGTGGAGTTTGCAATGAATAACACAAAAAATAGAAGCATAGACGAATACCCGAGCGTAATGCTCTTTGGTGTATTACAAAAGGGCAATAGTATAGATAGTTTAAAAGAAAACATAGTCGAAGAAAATCAAAGAAGCGACTAAAGAGACTTAGAGTATACAAGATGCAAAGCAGCAATAGTTCAACAGAAAGTTCAAGAGTACAATAAAAGTTACGTTGATACAAAGCGACAGAGACCCAGACTATATTCTATTGATGATTATATTATAATTAGAAATTTCAACTCACATCCAGGAACGTCAAGTAAACTAGCTCCAAAGTTCAAGGGACCGTATAGAATTTCAAAAGTTTTAGATAACGATAGGTATGTTGTGCAAGATATAGAAGGATTCCAACAAACTCAAATCCCCTATTCAGGAATATGGGCTGTCCACAATATTAAAGAGTTAAATGATGAAGAAAATGTAAACAATGAATTAAATGATGAAGAAAATGTAAATAATGAATTAGATGATGAAGAAGATGTAAATAATGAACAAAATGTAAATATTAGATTTGATAACGAACGAAATGTAAATAATGAATTAGATGATGAATAAGATGTAAGTAATGAACAAAATGTAAATACTGAATTAGAAAATGAAAATGTAAATGATGAACACGAAAGCAATTTAAAAAAGAATGATGAGGATGTAGCTGATTCAAGGAATAAGATCATAGCAAGCGAAATGCAAAGAAAAAATGCAAGAAAGAAAAATGTTAGAAAAATGGCTGAGAGCAGCATAATAACAAGAAACATGGCAAAGAGAATCAGGAGATACTCACTGTCAGGATAGGCCGAATTGTAGCAGTACTATCCCCTAATACCACTGTACATACATATAATACTAGCCATTAAGCCCACTGTAATCGTGTTCTCAGCACCAACACAAAGAATACGAAGGAGAAAAAGAAAAAGAAAAGAATAAAAGGAGAGCGAGATGAGTTTTTTTTGGATCGAGCAGAGACGAGAAAGCACGCGTTGTGAATTGCTGCCCAGACTACACATGTAAATTGTTTTTTTTATTCTAAATTTCTAAAAAATCATATGCTCAAAAATGTATATACTGACTGAGTACTGGTATAAGTCGAGTCGCGTCCCCAGAAGCGACTCGCACGTTCCTTTTCGTTTTTGTTACATCTGTTATCTACAACGTAGATTCTACATCTCCTCCGCCAGAGGTCGCACAGAGTCGGCTGTCGGTATGAGTAGCGCTTCAGTGCTGGAAGGGTGGGTTAGCAACAGAAAATAAATTTCTTCATTCTGGCTATAATAGTAATTCGATCTGATTTAATTCTGCAATCTGGTAGAAATTGTCAATCTCTACGATACTGTGTGTTCCGTTTTTCTCTTATCTTGAAAACTGTAAAATCCACAGTTTTTCGTTCTTTGTGAAACCGTTAGGGGGCGAGAAATTTTGAAATACACTTGTAACAGTGTGATATCACATGAGTAAGTATTCGAAAATTTGCTTGCTGTAGCTATTATAATCTCTCATCAAGACGGACAGACAGACATGGCTATATCAACACGGGAATTGATGCTGATCAAGAATATATGTGTATACTTTATGGGGTCGGAAACGTTTCCTATTCTGCGTTACACACATCCACTTTTACCACAAATCTAATATACTCCTTAACTCTTCGAGGATGGGTATAAAAAATCCTGTCAATAAAGAGGAACAGCTGCTTCTATGACAACCTTGAGATATTGATAACATTATTTTCCACGTGGCTATACGAGTTACAAAGACGATAGATAATTTTATTTTTCAAATAATGTGACCAGGTCCGAAAAACTCAAAGTCAATGGAATGTGCTGACACTCAAACATCTCAAGCAAGCACGTTTGGCTCATATTGTATTAATATTTGACTATAAACTCAAACGTGTGACCGTGACCCCTTCAAAGAAGTCCATACCATGACAGCAAACCTCTGCAATTTTATTTTTATGATTTATTAGTTAGATTTCGATCGAAGAAAAAAGTGATCGTATATGTATGTATAAGGGAGAGGTCCTGATTGTGGACATAGTTTTGTTTTTGCCTCTCAACTTTTGACCAATTGCATATTATACAAAAATATGTGCACTAATTTAAAACTAGAGGTATTAGCTAACTACACTACTCGACAAAATCGAACTTTTTTTTCCTCAAGGATCCAAACCGACTTTTTCTGATAGATATGGGGATTTAAAAATTTTTAAAGAATTATGGTTTTTTTTTCTATGGCAGAACTTTTTTTTGAAGAATTTTTGAAGTCTGGTATTTTTTTTTTAAGCTTTGTTTAGAGGTAGCGCTTGTTTTTTTCTCATAGCTCTAGTACTTACGTCTGGTTGTAAAGAACTTTGCTATTTTGAAAAGATAATTAAAACAGCTAGAAGTTAAGCCCAAACACTTTGTGATTACAGCTTACCGTCTGGGAAATATAAAGCATTGAAATGCAAACATGATGATTTTTTTGCGGTATTTTTTACGAAATTTTGACTTTAAAAACTCAGGAAAAGTCGAAAAAAAATTATATCTGTGTTTTATATTTTGTTCTGTATAGGTGCATTAATTTGGCGTCGTTTAAGGTATCGCTCATTAAAATCTATGGAGAGACTTTGGAGCTAAAATTCGTTAACCAAACCTAAAATATGGAAAAAATTAACAAAAAATACCTTTTGGAAGGTTGCGGGCCCAACTGCCAATTGGGAACAAAGCAAACGAACAAGGGTTGTACATTTGGTACCTGATCGCGTTCCTTTGTTCAATGCTTTATATTTCCCAGACGGTAAGCTGAAATCACAAAGTGTTTGGCATAAACTTCTAGCTGTTTCAATTATCTTTTCAAAATAGCAAAGTTCTTTACAACCAGACGTAAGATACTAGAGCTATGTGAAAAAAACAAGCGCTACCTCTGAAAAAATCTTAAAAAAAATACCAGTTTTCAAAAATTCTTCAAAAAAAAGTTCTGCCATAGAAAAAAAAAAATATCATCAAACCATTTCTAAGCCCCAAATCTTTAAGAAAAAGTTCGTTTTGTTCCTTGAGGAAAAATCGTGTTGACTAATGCTATCAGTGAAGGAACTAAATTTATGATGCTAATGATGCCTTACGTCCACGCTTTTTCTGGGCAGAAACAGATGTCTGCATATTTGTTAGCTTCGAATCTTTCCTATCTGCTCTATCTTTCAAAGAAGCAGTGCAATCTGGTGAAGAAAGCCCAGAGCTTTCCATCGGCTTTCTACAACTACTCGACAGCGTCTTTGGTGTAACCGCAGACAGAGGAAAAATGTCCTCAAAAAGTGATAGGCAGCTCGTTGAAGATACACAGTGGTTTAAATGTTATTATTTTGTACTACATTACCATAATCAAAGATATTGTGCAGTTAATTAACCAAATACCAGCATTAAATGCAAAAAAAACATGGTGCCCACAACAAGTATCATGGCGTATGTCACATCCACGTTCACGTTTATGTATTTTTCCCCCAATTTATTTTAATATGGTCACATCACTTACACCAGAGTAACTGTTTGTTTCGGTATTAGCACAAAAGCTGCGTATTGTTAACGAATATAGCTCCCAATACTCAGATCTGTAGCATATGCTTGCTGACCAAGTTTTCGGAGGGGTTGTCACAACTAGGACACTGTCCACAACAGGGACCTCTTCACTTCTGTATGTTTGCTTTTCAATAGTTTAGGCTGAATCAAATTTTATTTACCTAAGCAGCCCTTAATAAATCATTCTATCAGTCAGATACTTTGTATACCGCATCAAATAATATAAATCATTCTACACATTTATTTTAGATCACCAAATCTAATCTTATTAATACTTTTTTAAATGGCGTAAGTAAATAAACTAATAATTGTAATCTAGAAAATACCAAAAACAAAATATATTTACCAACAAGTGAGACCGCCGAGTACAAGCCTGGCGATTTGCCATATGCAGAGCAAGATGATCGAAAACTATTTTGCAAGTTTCACTACAAAGGCGTACTCATTTTAGTCATTCCACTCATATTTGCCCCTATACTGTTGGCAGAGAATCTATTGGTAAGTACGGGGCGACCTCATTCCTGTCTATTGACGCCCAGACCCTCAAACTGAATTGTATTCTCAATAGGTATCTCGATTTATCTACCTTACAATATGTCTATATCTGTACTACATCCTCAACGTTATGGCTCAAGGAGCAACTGCATTTATCTATATTACATTCGTTCCTGTTTTGGGCATTGCGGGATCGGGTCCTGTCAGCAATTCGTATTATACAGATCTAATATTTTTGACATATGGCAGCGTCATTATGGGCGTCATGATGGACACTTCGAAGCTTGGTGATCGTCTCGGCATATTGGTCATTAAAATTTGCGGTAGCAACATCAGAATGTAAGAAAATCCTTAGAAAAGCGTTCATACTTACATGGTCCTCCCCGCATAGTCTTCAGATTTTTCTGGTTATTGTCACTGCGGTGTCATCCATTTTCGTGAACTCCACAGTCATGGCGGCTTTTTGGATGAAGGTGGCTATAGCTGTGATGACTGAATTCAATGACGTGAGTGTTTGATAGTAATTTTAAGATAAGCTGAAACAATCCCTTTTTAGGCTGGAATTGCTAAAATGTACTCCGACGAAGAGCCCTACGAGCGTGGATCGTAAGTCTGTTGCCACACCTCCCTAGATACAAATTATAATTTTCTCCGTCTCACAGAAAACCTTATCCGTCACGTCCTGCAGTGGGAATTTATTTAACTGTGTGCTATGCTTCCACCCTGGGAGCTATGATTTCGCCACTACAGGACCCAAATGACGCTCTAATCGACATTTTCAACATGTAAGAATAGTATTTTTATACCCTGTACTTAAAGAGTACAGAAGGAAGCCTTTCCGACTCCATAAAGTATATATTTCTTATCAGCTTCAATAGCCAAGTCAATATAGCTGTCTGTCTGTCAGTCCTCTCGTTCCATTATAGTCCTAGTTTTTAGAGACTATAAGTGCTAAAACAAGTATAGTATTTGGTCCTGGGCTATCATACTTAATTTTAAATTTTGTTCGAGACCCCAACCGCCCCCTCCTAGCGTAGTTCTGTGTCGTTCAAAATTTTTAAGATAGGAGTAAACCGAAAAATCAGAATCATAAAGAATTATCTATCTGTCAGAGCTGGTTATTATAGCCATAAGAAAGCAAACAATTTCCCCTGGCTGACTCAAACGTACTCCGTTATCAGGAACAGAGAGAGAGAGAGCGAGAGAGAAATAGATTTAACAGACGATGAATTATGGAAACTTCTAACATATTGATAATTGGAAAGAGTATACACGTAGACGTAGTAAGTTTCAATAATCAGAATATTAGATATATGGAATCTGAGTACTGGGAATATATGCCACGACTCCAATCCACTGCTTTTTAGATCTGTAGTCAAAGGAGATTTGTGTAACGCACAGAAGGAAACATAAACCGACCCCATAAAGTATATATATGTATTCTTGATCAGCACCAATAGCCGAGTGGATGTCAGTCTGTCTATCAGTCCGACTTGACGAGCTTCTAGATCTCAGAGACTATAAGCCTTATAGTATAAGGGGTAGAGCAAACATGTTCTGTTTCCAGACTTATGTGATATCACACAGTTGCACGTGTATTTCGCAAAGGACGCCCACCCCTAAAAAAGACGAAAATCTGAGGAATTCACAATCTTAAAGATATGAGATAAAAAGATAAAGATAAAATCGCAGTATCGTAGAGAATCGCCGAATTTGATCAGATCGGATTATTATTATAGCCAGAATGAAGAAATTAATTTTCAGTCTCCTTTTCCCCCAGGAATTTGAATGGCAAGGTTGGCGCTGAAAGTTTTCTAGTGCTGTTAATTGTTCCAATGATTCTTAGTATGATTGTATTGATTGTGTGGATCAATATTATGTTCCTGGGACTGGCAGGGGGCAGTGTGAAGCAGGAGCTGGCCGAGGGGGCTGGAAATAAGGATGGACTCAAACAGGCCATGGTCGATAAGCAGGAGAAAATGGGTCCCTGGACAATCCACACCAAATTGTCCCTCGCCTTGGTTCTTCTTACATTTCTGATGATGATGACGCGGAAACCTCGCTTCATGGACGGATGGGATACTATAAGCGAAGTTACGTCTAATGGACCCTCCGTCGCTATCATTGGAATGAGTATTCTGTTTTTTGGCGTTCCTGCCAACTATATGTTCTGCAAATATTACATGTGTCGCCAGCCTAAGAAAGAGGGCAGTGTACCATCTCTACTGGGCTGGAAGGCGGTGAATTCCAATACACCTTGGGGACACATATTCATGCTGGGTGCCGGATTCAGCTGTGTGTTTAGTGGTAAGCATGCCGGTTTCTTTGATTACTTGGTGGACTCGGCGGTAAAAAGTAAAATGGGCAATGGAACTGCCATGGTTTATGGTTCGGCATTGGGAACTATACTGACGATCTTATCACCAGCCACCACCTTAGCTAAGCTCGCTGTCCCCATTATGTTTGGAGCCGTAAGTAAACTACTGTATATCAGGGCTATAATTGGAATTTAATTCATTCTTCTAGGGTAAAAAGTTGGCCGTACCATTTGCCGCTGCATTGCATAATCAGTTTATGCTACCAACCAGTACACCGTCCAACACGATTATTGCCGGCTGGGGCAATGTCAGACCTTATCAGTTTGTAAGTATCTGCTAGACATTAGTTCAAAATCTTGACCCTAAGCTAATACCCTACTTTCATCCCCAGCTATTAGGTGGCCTGGTACCTACCATATTCATGTTTATATTAATTTTGGGCTTTACCATGGCCCTGGGAGGCACTGCATTTTCCGGTTATTAAACTAATTAAAATACAAAAAAACAGCAACTAATAAAATCACAATCAGCATCTTAACTGTCACTTATTCTTTTTCATGTACATACATATTACAGGCGGTGAAAAATTTTCGGGAAAAGGTACTGCTTGCGGATTTCTCATAAATTGGGGTTGCCAAAAAAATATTCGATTTAAGGGGATTTGAGATCCACTTTTTTCAATGGGTTGTCAAAGAATCTGCAAACAAGGTAGATTGTCCTGGCTCTAATAGTCTCTGAGATATGGACGTTAAACAGAGCGGACGGACGAGGGGACAGACTCGACATTTGATGCTGATAAAAAAAATATACATTTTATGGGATTGGAAAGGTATCCTTCATGCTGTTACATACACTCATACGAATATAAAATATGTACCCACAAAATGTACCTGTACTCTTAAAGTTCCTAGTATAAGCAGTTTAAGTTACTTATATTTTGCCATATTATTGTTGAAATGTTGAAAATATATACGCAACCCCAAACTAAGAGCATTGTACTCAGTGCGTTATAAGCAAATGGTTTTAACCAAATAACACAGTTTGGTGTTTAAGGAAATCCCCGCCTGGTCATTCGCACCTAATTCACATTGCCCTTATCAAAACATGGTCTGCAAAAGCATTCCTACTAAATAATTGATTTGTTAATTTAGACATGGACCCTCCCCATGTGACTCTTACTGGTAGAATAGTTTTTGGCTTAGTGAAGTCGGCAACGTTTGCCCTGCTAGACAACATTAAACAACCGGAAGACACGCTGCCCAAGGGACGAATTTATATTCTCACAATTTAATTATTAAATTTATCGCGAACTGTTCGTTAATATTCATATCAGTCGCGACATTCTCAAATTGTCTTTCTTATTGCTTTGGTTAGAGAACACGACTGTCATTTGCCATGACTAAAAATACATGAAAATTAAATGTCGGTGTTGGGGGTAGTACGGGCTATTCTGCTAAGCCTGGGAACTTGTGTTTCGGCCGCCCCGATTTTTGGAAATTCTTTACAGCCCATATGTACATATGTTGTAATTTATGTTCTAATGTTAATTCTTGCACTTTGTTTCGTTATTTCGTATTTCGTAGCCAATGTTTTATGTTTGGAGTATTTTTAATTGTTTTATGAAGTCTAGTGTATTTTTAGGCAAGGAGGGAGGCAATAAAAGCTCGCTCTTCGCGAATTAGCCCCGCTTTTCCACCATATATTAGCTTAGAGAATATGTATGGAATTTTTAGAATGTAATCGTTAAATTGATTTTATCGAGCGCACACCTTGCTTTTTCACCCCGCATATTAAAAAATATTTTTGCCACCCAAAGCTTTGGTTTTCATAATTAAACGAGAAGGAACGTGTGAGTCGTTTCTGGGGACACGACTCTACTTATACCCGTACTCAGTCAGTATATACATTATTGAGCTTATGATTTTTTAGAATTTTAGAAAAAAAAAGAAAAATTTTACATTTTACATTTTTTTGCTACATTTGCTATCTACATCTACATATACAATGTCTATTCTACATCTAACATGTAGATTGTACATGTTCCATTCATATTCTACATCTCCTCCGCTAGGGGTTGCTCGCGCACTGAACGCGGCAGAGTGTGCGAGCGAGAAGGAAAATGAGTTGCGTTGTCGTGGTCGGGAGGGGGAGGGGAAGCAACTGAAAATGAATTTCTTCATTCTGGCTATAATTATGATCCGATCTGATTCAGATTCGGCAGTCTGGTAGATATGGTCATTCTCTAAGATACTGCGTTTTCAGTTTTATCGTATCTTTAAAATGTGCCTGCTACAGATTTTCGTCTTTTGTGGGGGCGGAAGGGGGCGGGGCGAAGTTTTGAAATACACTTGTAGCAGTGGGATATCACATAAGTCTGGAAACCAAATTTGGTTGCCCTAGCTCTTATAGTCTCTGAGATCTAGGCGCTCAACAAGACAGACAGACGGACAGACAGACATGGCTATATCGACTCGGCTATTGATGCTGATCAAGAATATATATACTTTATGGGGTCGGAAACGTTTCCTTCTCTGCGTTACACACATCCACTTTTACCACAAATCTAATATACCCCTTAGCTCTTTTTTGAGTACGGGTATAAAAACACTTCACACTTCGTTTATCCTCTTTCCACCAAATGTCCTATTTGATTCCAATTTTAGAATATTTAAGTATCTTCAGAACTGTGGACGCCCCACAGTGTGATATCACAGAAGTGTCCACACAAAATGTTGTTGCTCTAGCTTTCATGGTTTCCGAGATCTAGGTGCTCATCCCGAAGGACCGACAGGTGCTGACTTAATGCTAATCAAGAATAAATATATGTATGTTGTATGTATCTACAATGTAGATTCTACATTAGGCTGGGCCAAATTTGACCAAAAAATTAATTTTTTGTTTTTTCAAAGGGACACCCCCCAATTCTATTCTTTGTTATTCAATAAAATTATACAATTTTTTTCAAATTTTTAGTTTAATGTTTGGGGTTTGCTATATACATATATTGTAAATATATATATATATTGGGGGTAAATTTACATTAAAAACGAGAAGGAACGTGCGAGTCGCTTCTGGGGACGCGACTCTACTTATACCCGTACTCAGTCAGTATATACATTTTAGAGCATATGATTTTTTAGAATTTTAGAATTAAAAAAAAAAAAAATTTTACATTTTACATTTTTTTGCTACATCTGCTATCTGCTATCTGCATATACAATGTCTATTCTACATCTAACATGTAGATTGTACATGTTCCATTTAGATTCTACATCTCCTCCGCTAGGGGTTGCTCGCGCACTGAACGCGGCAGAGTGTGCGAGCGAGAAAGAGAATCAGTAGCGTCAGCAGCGCTGGAGAAGGAGAGGGAACCAACAGAAAATTAATTTCTTCATTCTGGATATAATTATAATCCGATCTAGTTCAGATTCGGCAATCTGGTAGATATGGGCATTTTCTACGATACTGCGTTTTTAGTTTTATCGTATCTTTAAAAATGTGCCTGCCACAGATTTTCGTCCTTTGTGGGGGCGGAAGGGGGCGGGGCGAAATTTTGAAATACCCTTGTAGCAGTGTGATATCACATGAGGCTGGAAACCAAATTTGGTTTCTCTAGCTCTTATAGTCTCTCAGATCTAGGCGCTCATCAAGACGGACAGACGGACAGACGGACGGACGGACGGACAGACGGACATGGCTATATCGACTCGGCTATTGATGCTGATCAAGAATATATATACTTTATGGGGTCGGAAACGTTTCCTTCTCTGCGTTGCACACATCCACTTTTACCACAAATCTAATATACCCCTTAACTCTTTTTTGAGTACGGGTATAAAAATTGAATTCGTCGGTTTTTTCAAATAATATTGAAACTTAGAAACTAGTTCATATTGATAATAGGGTATTTTTTATACCCGTACTCAAAAAAGAGTTAAGGGGTATATTAGATTTTTGGTAAAAGTGGATGTGTGCAACGCAGAGAAAACGTTTCCCTAAAAGTATTATTCTTGATCAGCATCACGAGCCGAGAGCCATGTCTGTCTGTCCGTCGTCGTCTGCGCCCCCCAATAGAGACTATAAGAGCTAGGGAAACCAAATTTGGTTTCCAACTATGTGATATCACACTGCAAAATCCCCCCCCCCCGAAAATGGGCAGGCCATTTAAAGAAAAAAAACAAAAAATTTGAAGAATGCCCATATCTACCAGATTGCCGAATCTAAATCATATCTGATCATAATTATAGCCAGAATGAAGAAATTAATTTTCAGTTGCTTCCCCTGCCCCTCCCGCCAACGACAACGCATCTCATTTTCCTTCTCGCTCGCACATTCTGCCGCGTTCAGTGCGCGAGCAACCCCTAGCGGAGGGTAGAATCTAATTGGAACATGTAAAATCTACATGTTAGATGTAGAATATACATTGTATATGTGATGTAGATATCATATGTAGCAAAAAAATGTAAAATGTAAAATTTTTTTTTTTTTCTAAAATTCTTAAAAATCATAAGCTCAAAAATGTATATACTGACTGAGTACGGGTATAAGTAGAGTCGCGTCCCCAGAAGCGACTCACACGTTCCTTCTCGTTTTTTTTTTTAGTTACTGTTAAAAAAGTAACGATTCGTGAAAATCAAGAAGTTCAGCTGAGGTTGATATATTAGTTAACTAGTTCGCAAAAACTTGTGCAGGTTTCTTACTGCCAATAACTGATTAATGACGATATGAATGGTATCAACTCATTCAGGAAAACATTTTTTTTTAAATTTTCTTGATTAAAATTTATTGTAAAATTCGGTAGAAACCTTTGAAAATTAAAAAAAACGAGAAGGAATGTGCGAGTCGCTTCTGGGGACGCGACTCTACTTATACCCGTACTCAGTCAGTATATAAATTTTTGATCTTATGATTTTTTAGAATTTTTGAATTAAAGATGCTACATCTGATATCTACATCTACAATGTATATTATAAATCTAACATGTAGATTGTACAATGTACATGTTCCATTTAGATTCTACATCTCCTCCGCTAGGGGTTGCTCGCGCATTGAACGCGGCAGAGTGTGCGAGCGAGAAGGAAAATGAGTTGCGTTGTCGTTTGCTGGAGGAGGGACAGGGGAAGCAACTGAAAATTAATTTCTTCATTCTGGCTATAATTATGATCAGATATGATTTAGATTCGGCAATCTGGTAGATATGGGCATTCTCTACGATACTGCGTTTTTAGTTTTATCGTATCTTTAAAAATGTGCCTGCCACAGATTTTCGTCCTTTGTGGGGGCGGAAGGGGGCGGGTCGAAATTTTGAAATACACTTGTTGCAGTGTGATATCACATGAGTGTGGAAACCAAATTTGGTTGCCCTAGCTCTTATAGTCTCTGAGATCTAGGCGCTCAACAAGACAGACAGACAGACAGACAGACAGACAGACATGGCTCTATCGACTCGGCTATTGATGCTGATCAAGAATATATATACTTTATGGGGTCGGAAACGTTTCCTTCTCTGCGTTACACACATCCACTTTTACCACAAAT